TGAGCCATGACCAAGATCCCCCAATTTTGGTGTCCAACACAATTTTTAGTCTCTCCACATCCACCAGCACCAAATTCCTTAGGGATCCTCTCTCCTGGCGCATCCCCGTTGAACCATGACCAAGATCCCCCAAATTTGGCGTCCTTTGGCGCGTCCCCAACCCAATTTTTAGTCTCTCCACATCCATCGGGTGCCATATTCCTTATGGATCCTCCCTCCCGCGATCTCCCGCCGCGTCCCCGCCGGGCGCCGCGCCCGCCGCCATTTTGGCCCGGTGGCTGCGGCGGTGCTTGTCCAGGTGCGAGGCCTGGCTGAAGGCGCCGCCGCACTCGGCGCAGCCGTAGGGCCGCTCGCCGGTGTGGACGCGCCGGTGGCGCCGCAGGTGCGACGCCCAGGCGAAGCCCTTGCCGCAGTCGCCGCAGCGGTGCGGCCGCCGCTCCCTCGCCGCCGTCCCGCATTCGCGGCGCCGCGCCGGCTCGGCGATCCGGCGGGACGTCTCGCGCCGCCGCGGCCGCGGCCGCCGCCCGGCGTGGCTGCGGCGGTGCTTGGCCAGGTGGGGGATTTGGCTGAAGGCCTCGCCGCACTCGGCGCAGCCGTAGGGCCGCTCGCCGGTGTGGACGCGCCGGTGGCGCCGCAGGTGCGACGCCCAGCGGAAGCTCTTGCCGCACTCGCCGCACGCCAACGGGCGGCGCCGCCGTTCGGCGACCTCGAGTTCGGCGACGTCCATTTTGGCAACGTCCATTTTGGAAACATCCATTTTGGCGACGTCCATTTTGGACACATCCATTTTGGAAACGTCCATTTTGGCGACGTCCATTTTGGACACATCCATTTTGGCAACATCCATTTTTGAAACATCCATTTTGGCGACGTCCATTTTGGCGACGTTCACTTTGGCGAAGTCCATTTTGGAAACATCCATTTTGGCAACGTTCATTTTGGAAACATCCATTTTGGCGACGTCCATTTTGGCAACATCCATTTTGGCGACGTCCATTTTGTCAACGTCCATTTTGGAGACGTCCATTTTGGAGACGTCCATTTTGGCGACGTCCATTTTGGAAACATCCATTTTGGCGACATCCATTTTGGCAACGTCCATTTTGGCGACGTCCATTTTGGCGACATCCATTTTGGAAACGTCCATTTTGGCGACGTCCATTTCGGCAAACGCCGCCGGCGCGGCTCTGCCGGGACGCCGCGCTTTGCGCCGGGGCGAGCCGAGCAGTTTCGGCCGCGCCGCGCCGGCGCCGCTCTCCCGGCGTCCTCTCGGCGCCGGATTTTCCGCCAGCAGCCCCCGAGCTGCTGGGAAAGGGGAAAAAAAGGAGGAAAAGGGGAAAACATGAGGAGCAGGATCCTAAAAAATTGGATTTTTGGGTTTTTTTGTTATCCTAGCAACAGGATTCTCCATAAAAATTTGATTTTTTAACCACCTAGATACAGGATTGTCCTTAAAAAATTTGATTTTTATGGTATTCTATCAATAGGATTCTCATTTAAAAATTTGATTTTTTTGCTATCCTAATAACAGGATTCTCCTCAAAAAATTTTATTTTTTTTGCTCACTTAGCAACAGGATTTTCCTTAAAAAAATTATTTTTTTTTCTCTCCTAGCAACAGGATTCTCCTTACAAAATTTGATTTTTTCTCTCTATTAGCAACAGGATTCTCATTAAAAATTTTGATTTTTTAGCTCTATTAGCAACAGGATACTCCTTTAAAAATTTATTTTTTTTGCACTGGTAGCAATAGTATTCTCATTAAAAAATTTGATTTTTCTCTCTTCTAGCAACAGAATTCCCCTTAAAAAATTTGATTTTTTTAATCTCCTAAAAACAGGATTCTCCTTAAAAAATTTATTTTTTTGCTCTCCTATCATCAGGATTTTCCTTAAAAATTTTGATTTTTTTTTCTCTCTATTAGCAACAGGATTCTCCTTAAAAAATTTGATTTTTTTGTTCTTCTAGCTACAGGATTTTCCTGAAAAATCAAATTTTTGGGGTTTTCTTACCCAGGGCCATGAGGGTCTCGTAGCTCTCGTGCATCACGTCGAGGTAGAGCGGCTCCATGGGATTGGAAATTCCTGGAAAATTCAGATTTTACCTCAGATTTCCCCAAAAAAAATCGGATTTTACCCTCGGATTTCCCAAAAAATTCAGATTTTACCCTCGGATTTTCCCAAAATTCAGATTTTACCCAAGATCTCCCCAAAAAATTCATATTTCACCTCGGATCCCCCCAAAAATTCAGATTTTACCTCAGATCGCCCCAAAAAATTCAGATTTTACCTCAGATCTCCCCAAAATTAAATTTCGCCTCAAATCTCCCCAAAAAATTTAGATTTCACCTCAAATCTTCCCAAAATTCAGATTTTACCTCAGATCTCCCCAAAAAACTCAGATTTTACCTCAGATCTCCCCAAAATTAAATTTTACCTCAGATCTCCCCAAAATTCAGATTTTTAAATGGGGTTTTTTTTGTGTTTTCCTGGTGAAAATAAATGGGATTTTCCGTGTTTTCCTGGTGAAAATAAATGGATTTTTCCATTTTCCTGCCGAAAATAAATGGGATTTTTCCGTGTTTTCAACGTAAAAATAAATGGGATTTTTCCGTGTTTTCCTGGTGAAAATAAATTGATTTTTCCATGTTTTCCTGGTGAAAATAAATTGATTTTTCCATGTTTTCCTGGTGAAAATAAATGGCTTTTTTCCATATTTTCTCCCCCAAAAATCTCCTGGTACCCAAAAAATCCGAATTTCCATTTTCCATAATTTTTTTTCTCCCCAAAAAATCCGAATTTCCATCCCTGAGCATCTCAGGGACCTTTTTCCATCCTTTTTTACCCTAAAAAATCCGAATTTCCATTTTCCATCCTTTTTTATCTCAAAAAATCCGAATTTCCATCCCTGAGGATCTCAGGGACCTTTTTCCATCCTTTTTTTACCCCAAAAAATCCGAATTTCCATTTTCCATCATTTTTTTTAGCCTAAAAAATCCGAATTTCCATCCCTGAGGATCTCACAGATTTTTTTTCCATTCCGATTTTCTCCCCAAAAAAAATCTCCTGGTACCCAAAAATCGGAATTTCCATTTTCCACATTTTTTTATCCCAAAAAATCCGAATTTCCATTTTCCATTTTTTTTTTCTCCCCAAAAAATCCGAATTTCCATCCCTGCAAAGCTCAGAGATTTCTCTCCAACCTTGTTTTTTTTTCCCCAAAAAAAATCTCCTGGTACCCAAAAAATCCTAATTTCCATCCCTGAGCATCTCAGGGACCCTTTTCCATCCTTTTTTATCCCAAAAAATCCGAATTTCCATCCCTCACTCGCTCTCCATCCTTGGTTTTTTTCACCAAAAAAAATCTCCTGGTACCCAAAAATCCGAATTTCCATTTTCCATATTTTTTTTTCCTCCCCAAAAAATCCGAATTTCCATCCCTGAGCATCTCAGGGACCTTTTTCCATCCTTTTTTCCCCCAAAATTCCGATTTTTCCCCCCCTTACCTCCCGTTTTCCCTCGCCGCGAAATGGCGGCGGCGCCGCTCCGGGAACGCAAATCCGGTTCCGGGATTTTGCTCCTCCCACCCGCTATTAAAAATCCGATTTTTTTCCCTTTTTTTCCCTTAAAAATCGCCAAAATCGGCGAATTTGGGGAGGGAGGGTCGGGAAAAGGCCGAGATTTGTCAGCGGGGGTCTTGGTATTTTTATTTTTATTTTTATTTTTATTTTTATTTTTATTTTTATTTTATTTTTATTTTTATTTTTATTTTTATTTTTATTTTTATTCTTATTTTTATTATATTTTTATTTTTATTTTTATTTTTATTTTTATTTTTATTTTTATTTTTATTTTTATTTTTATTTTTTTATTTTATTTTATTATTAATTTTTTATTATTTTTATTTTTTATATTTTTTATTATTTTAATTTTTTAAATTTTCTTTTTATTTTTATTCAATTTTATTTAATTTTTTAATTATTTTTATTTCTATTTCTGTTTTTTATGGAGGCACCAGGTTGCTTATTTTATTTGGCTGATTTTGAGATTGTAAAGAATTCTTTTTGTTTTCTTTTGCTGCTAACGAAGAATTTATAATTTGTTTGTGCTGGTTTTTAATTACATAAGGACAAAATATAAAATAAATTCGGATTTGAGTCTGTAGCAATAATTCCCAAAGCTCTACAATAAAACCTTTGCAGAAAATCACATTTTGTGATTATTTGTAGCCATAAATCCAAAAAAATTGGATAAAAATCAAATTTATTGAGGTTCAAAAATCGAGCCATAAATCCAAAAAATGGGATAAAAATCCAATTTATTGAAGTTCAAAATTTGGGTTATAAATCCAAAAAAATGGGAAAAAAATCAAATTTATTGAGGTTCGAAACTCGAGCCATAAATCCAAAAAAATGGGATAAAATCCAATTTATTGAGGTTCAAAAATGGAGTTATAAATAAAAAAAAATGGGATAAAAATCAAATTTATTGAGGTTTTATCACGCTGATCGATTGGGCCACAGAGACCCAAAATTTGGGTTAAAAATCCAGGAAAATGGGGGAAAAATCAAATTTATTGAGGTTCAAAATTTGGGTTATAAATCAAAAAAAATGGGGTAAAAAATCAAATTTATTGAGGTTCAAAATTTGGGTTATAAATCAAAAAAAATGGGGTAAAAAATCAAATTTATTGAGGTTTTACTGATGAGGATGAAGATGAAGATGAAGATGAAGACGGAAATGAAGATGAGGATGAAGATGAAGATGAGGATGGAGATGAAGATGAAGATGAGGATGGAAATGAAGATGAAGATGAAGATGAAGATGAAGATGAAGATGAAGATGAAGATGAAGATGGAGATGGAGATGGAGATGGAGATGGAGATGAGGATGAAGATGGAGATGAGGATGAAGATGGAGATGAGGATGAAGATGGAGATGGAGATGGGGATGAAGATGAAGATGAAGATGAAGATGAAGACGAAGACGAAGACGAGGATGAAGATGAAGATGAGGATGAAGATGAAGATGAAGATGAAGATGAAGATGAAGACGAGGATGAAGATGAAGATGAAGATGAAGATGAAGATGAAGATGAGGATGAAGATGAAGACAAAGATGAAGATGAGGATGAAGATGAGGATGGAAATGAAGATGAGGATGAAGATGAGGATGAAGATGAAGGTGGAGATGAAGATGAAGATGAGGATGGAGATGAGGATGAAGATGAAGGTGGAGATGAAGATGAGGATGGAGATGAGGATGAAGATGAAGGTGAGGATGAGGATGAGGATGAGGATGAGGATGAGGATGAGGATGAAGACGAAGATGAAGATGAAGGTGAGGATGGAGATGAGGATGAAGATGAAGATGAAGATGAAGATGGAAATGAGGATGAGGATGGAAATGAAGATGAGGATGAAGATGAAGATGAAGATGGAGATGGAGATGGAGATGAAGATGGAAATGAGGATGAGGATGGAGATGAGGATGAGGATGAGGATGAGGATGAGGATGGAAATGAAGATGAGGATGAAGATGGAAATGAGGATGAGGATGGAGATGAAGATGAGGATG